CACACCACACACACATACACCACACACCACACACACACATACACCACACACACACACACACACACACCACACACACACCACACACACACACACACACACACACCACACACACACCACACACACACACACACACACACACACACCACATACACACAGCTGACTGAGAACTGATGAGATCAGCAAGGTGGTCAGCAGACCTGACGGCCTTGAGCAGAACCTCGCCTCCTTCCTCACTGTGCGTCTCAGGCTGGGCAGCCGTCACCCGCAGTTAAGCCTCAGGTTCACCACACAGTATTTGGTCTTTGTGGTTGGTACATGTGAAGGGCTCGGCACAGTGCCTGGCACTCAGTCAGGACAAACGACCCCACTCATTCCCACACTCAGTGTGAGGGTGCAGCACCCTCTTCTTTCGCTGGCCCACTAAGACCCCAGCCGTCAGCACAGAGCAATAGAAGTGGGGGTAGCATTCCGACCACTACCCTTCAGCTCTTCCTCTGGGGAACCAGGACAGGCAGGGGTCAGCAGAGGGTGATGGCTAAAGAAACCAATGATAGACTCACTCAGCGTGGGAGGTGAGTGGCTCTGGGCTGTCCACTAGGAGATCTGACAGTAGGCATCTGCGTAACAAACAGTGTGGAGTGTTATTAAGGCTTCAACACTAAGGGAAAATGGCCAAGGCTATTCTCATTGTTGCTGTTGTTTTCAAGACAGGGTTTCTCTGTGTAGCCCTGGCTGTCCTGGAACTCACTCTGTAGACCAGGCTGGCCTTGAACTCACAGAGATCTGCCTGCCTCTGAGTGCTGGGATCAAACACCTTTAATCCCGGCACTCAGGAGGCAGAGCCAGGAGGATCTCTGTGAGTTCTAGGCCAGCCTGGTCTACAGAGTGAGATCTAGGACAGGCACCAAAACTACAGGAAAAAAAAAAAAAAAATCTAAAGATGTGCACTACCACCGCCCGCTGGCCAAGGCTATTCTGAGCAAAAGAAATGGCAATCCAGGTGTGGTGTCACCCTTTTTAATTTCAGTGCTGGAGTAGGTGGGACTGAAAGACTATCATGAATTCAAGGCCAGCCCCAGCTACATAGTGAGACTTTGTCTCAAAAAAACAAACAAAAAGCAAACAAGCAAATCCATCAGCCTGTGGTCTGTTTTCCTGTCCTAGGAGATGGACAAAGACCAAGATGTGAGGTAGTGGAGCTGTTCTGTGGCCACAGAGGCCAAAAGCCTGTGGTGAGGGCTGGGTGTGATAGCCACACTTTAATCCCAGCACTTCAGATCTCCAAATTCAAGGCTAATCAAAGCTACATAGTGAGACACTGTCTCGACAACAGCAGCAGCCCACAAAGGGAGTGTCGGGTGTGCATTTTGGGTAGAATAGTCTAGCTACAGTGCAAAGAACAGGTTTAAAGCAGGGGTTGACAAAGGACATTTAGAGGTCAAATCTACTTTTTATAAATTAACCCAAGTCCTCTGTGTGTATTCTTTTTTTTTTTTAATTTATTTATTTATTATGTATACAGTGTTCTGTCTACATGTATGCCTGCTGGCCAGAAGAGGGTGCCAGATCTCATTACAGATAGCTGTGAGCCGCCATGTGGTTGCTGGGAATTGAACTCAGGACCTTTGGAAGAGCAGTTAGTGCCCTTAACCTGTGAGCCATCTCTCCAGCCCTCTGTGTGTATTCTTTACAGCAGGCTGAACAGTGCTGACAGATACCCAGGTACCACAAAGGCCCTTTACAGAGAAAAGTATGCTGGCTTCTGTTTTAAAGACTAGAAGCTGGCTGGGGCTAGGTGTGGTGGCTCACACCTTTAATCCCAGAGCTCAGGAGGCAGACACAGGCAGATTTCTGTGAGTTCAAGGCTGTGGGAGGCCACAGGGGATATCTAGTGAGAACTTAACTCAGGGTCAGAGAATCTGGGCTTGCTTTACTCAGCAGGGCTGCATAAGAAGACGACTTGGTCACAGGAGTCGTTACCAGGTGTTTGGAAGGGTCTACACTTGGCTGTATAGTGTGCTTTGATTTTGCAAGGGGGAGGTCTTTTGCCCCGCCCCTTGGCATTGTTATAAAAAGACCTTCTGCCTAAATGAAGTGGCAGTTGGATATTGACCCAGGCCCTCCCGAAGCTATCCTGTGTTTTTCTTCTTGTCGTCTAGGTCACTCATACTGATATTTTCTTAATTCCTCTCTCCTCCACCTAAGAACCTTCAAAAGGTAAGAGCTGGACTCCCACACAAGGCCAGCCTGGTCTACAGAATGAGTTCCAGGACAGTCAGAGGAGCTATAAAGTGGGACCCTGCCTCAAAAAACAAAGCAAACAAATAAAAAAGATCAGAAGCTGGGGAAAACTGAGAAGCTGCAGTAGACAGAGAATTAACAGGGGCCTGAACTTCAACAATTGTTACAAAACAGAGAAGCAAAATGCTGGGAAACCCAGTTCCTCTGGCCTGATTCAGAGGAAGGCTATGAGACAGCTCTCTGCTTTCTGGCTTGAGAACACTCAGGAATCCAGGAAGAGCTGGGAAGATGGGAGGGTTGGGAGATTACAGAGGCCTCATGACCTTAGTCTGAAGTCACTCATCAGAAGGACAAAGGACTGTGCAGTCCAATGGCTGAGTGCTCACCCACAATGCTCAAGGCCCAGGCTTCCATTCCAGCACCATAAAGAAAGAAAATCAAATGAGAAAGGAAGACCTAAACTCTGACAGGCTGTGACATCACCTGAAGGAAGGAGAAGAGGGAGCCGGGAGCTGGTGGGAACCCTGATGGTACACATAGGTGTACACACACACACACACACACACACACACACACACACACACACACACGGGAAAGGAAGTTCCCGAAGGCCAGTAAGACAGCAAGTAAAGGTCACAGAGGCTGTCTGCCCTCTGCTTCCCCGTTAGGTGGAACTTCCAGCTCACCTCTGCATGATCCAGAAAGCCCTACTCCTGTCTCTCTCCAAACCCCACCCACACAGAGAATCTCTGAACAAAGGGAAGGCACCAAAGAGCCCAGTTCTGCATTCTTGGGGGCTACTTGAAGTTGCCAGGCACTCAAATCCCCACCTAAAGCATTCAGCTTTTGACGGTACTTGGGCACAAACCCAGCTTGTAGCAGACATGTCATCACCCCTTGTCTACAACCTATATAATCTCCCTGCTTTAGTTTGGGCGCGTGGCTTCTCTGGCCTCAATCTCTGGGACTGGAGATCTCACCCGGGAGTTGCTTTGCTCAAATAAACCTGCTGTCATACTCTTTCAGTTTGACTTGATCTGGCTTACTGCGCAGGCAGAGAAACCTGTTATGCCCCTTCTCAACAACCTTTCTTCCAACAGTAACACAGCACAAACGTACTAACCTGACTCGGTTCGCAGGACTGAGCCTTTAGCTTGCAGTCTTGAGCAAATGAATTCTTCTTTTTCCTGAAAGATGACCATCAGAACTCTCTTAGCCAGGCGTTTAGTACATGCCTCAACTCCCTGAACTTGAGGACTGGAGACAAGGGGATCAGGTCAAGGTCATCCTCAGCTACACGATTGAGCCCACCATGCCTACATGAGACCCTGTCTCAAAACATCAAAATAAGAAAAAAAATTAGCCGGGCGGCAGTGGCACAGGCCTTTAATCCCAGCACTAGTGAGGCAGAGGCAGGTGGATATCTGTGAGTTCCAGGCCAGCCTGGTCTACAGAGCAAGATCCAAGACAGGCACCAAAACAACACAGAGAAACCCTGTCTCGGAAAAAAAAAAGAAAGAAAGAAAGAAACAAACAAACAAAAATTAAAACTCAGCGAACAACTCTCTTCTTAGCAAGAACGGTGGTGCATGCCTGTAACCCAGCTACTCGGGAGGCTGAGGCAGGAATATGAAAGTATGAGGCACCATGGGCAACTTAACATGACTCCATCCCAAAGGCAAAAATTAAAGCGGGCTGGAATTGTAGCTCACTAGTAGAGCACCTGCCCAGTGCAAAGCCCTAGGTTTAATTCCATACCAAAAACAAAAGGAGAAAGACAGCATGTCTTTCCTAGCTTCCTGCTTCTCTCAGCTAGAGCACAATACTGAGAAATTTGTGGTAGATTTCCTGAGGAACATCACACCTCAAAGCCTACTTTTTAAAGATTTATTTTATGTATGTGTGTGTCTGTATGCACACACAGTGCCTGAGGAGGCCAAAAGAGGGCACTGGACCCCCTGGAACAAGAGTTACAGGTGTGAGCTGCCCTGTGGGTGCTGGGAACTGAAAATGGTCTTCTAGATGATCAGCCAGTGCTCTAACTGCTGAGCCATCTCTCCAGCTGCCGTCAGAACTTGTTTTAAGCCACTCAACCTGGTTAAGGTTTCTTGCTAGTATTGGAAACTTTCACATAACCCAGGATGGATTCAAACTTGATGTGTAGTAGAGACCAGCCTTGAATTCCCGATCCAGAGTGCTGGGATAGCAGGTGTGTGCCGCTACCACACCCAGCTTGAAGGAGGACTTGAAAACAAGATGTTCAATGTATTTGGGAAGTTGTAGCTACAGAATACAACAAAGAATCCATTTATATTTCCTACTCCATTAGGATATTTACACTTGCTTCTCAGGCAGCTTATGAGTAAGTCACTAAAAATCCTGAACTCTCACCAGGCAGTGATGGTGCGTGCCTTTAATCCCAGCCCTTAGGAGGCAGAGGCAGGCAAATCTCTGAGTTCGAGGACAGCTTCGTCTACAGAGAGTTCCAGGACAGCCAGGGCTGCACAGAGAAACCCTGTCTAAAAAATAAAAATAAATAAAATCATGAGCTCTCATGCTCTCATAAGTGACAACCTATGCCAGTGACTTCTCATGAACAGGAACACCATTCAGGACAGGAATCAGTCCTGGCCCTTTGCTACTTCTCTTCCCAGAAAGCCTCAAACTCTGTGACTTATGACTCGGCAAGGTGTCTTCCATACAGTTAGTTACACAATGGCTTAAAACAAAATATTTTTATTTTATTTATTTTGAGACAGGGTCTCACTATGTATCTCAGGCTAGTCTGGAGCTCACTATGAAGACCAGGCTGGCCTTAAACTAGAGATCCTCTTGGCTTTGACTCCCAGGTGCTGGGATTAAAGGAATGCATCAACACAAACAGAACAGGAGCAACATAAACGCTGGGGATTTAGCACCCCCAAGTGGTGAAGGTATTATTCTTCATGGACCTGAATCCCACACTTACCTTATTAAAACTCAAATTCTGGTTCGCCCAGAACTGCTGATTCCATTCTTGTGTTTCTTGTCTCAATTCTCTAAGCCTTTGTTCCAAGGGGGACTCGTTTTCAGGAATATGAAAATGAACTGGACGAAGGTTTGAATATTTATCTGGGGGTCCTATCCAATCATGGCAAGACTGTCTTGGAGGGCAGAATCTTGAGACCTTCAATGAAACACATGGGATTAACATGCAACTGAAGCCAACCCTGGTGTTATAAAATTAGCAGCCTGCATTTATTCAAGACCCTAGTTAGCTTATTCTGTGGGTTTATACTGTGGATATATATTTATACTACAAAGTATCCAATCACTTTGCAAACAAAGTGTTATAGTACTTTTTTTTTTTTTTTTTTTTTTTTTTTTTTTTTTTTTTTTTTTTTTT